TTCTTCTCGAAGAAAAGTCTTCATTTAGGTAGCCAAACATTTTGATTTCCAGATTTTTTCAGAACTATCTATGATCCAAAACTCCGAAGTAATAGTCTCAGTTGGTACCCTTTCCTTTCCAGTTTCCCTCCTCCATCGCCATTTTTTGAGTTCCGCTGCTCCTGTTGGATCTTCTTTCTCCCCTACTTACCATCCTTAAGTCCTAAGCATTTGCCCCACTCATGGATGGAGATCGTTCCGTCATTGTCGGTATCACACCCTTCCAAGAATGGTTTGATACATGATTCCATTGGAATTACAGGAGCCGTGATTGGGATGAGTTCGTGGTGGGATACTGCCTGAAAAATTGCCTTTGTATCTTCAAGTCCATATCAAGTAATGAATAGCGGTTACCTTATCATGTGGCTTGATGTCCAAGTCGCAGAACTTCCAGATTACGGGATATACGTGTCTCTTCTCATCATCAGCTTCAGCTTCTTGAAGGAGTTCTTCCCACTCGAGCTTGTGCAATTCACGGCGTTTCTTCAGCTCCTTCATGACCTACAAAGAATCGTCTTGTTCTCCAATTTCCCCGAGGGAAGTCCCCCTTACCTGGAAGAGCCAATCAGCCATACGTTCAGGGAATTGAGCCATAAGTTCTTCGGTGCACTCGCTCAGTTGCTTGCATTCTCCCAAGTATTCCAAGTGAACCTAATGTCAAAACATCAGATAAGCAAATTTTTGCGCATTTTTTGTTCGACATACTTTGGCGTGAGACTTCTTCGCACATTGCTTTGAACCCTTCTTGCAAAGGCATCGTTCACGGTACAGGTCGCAGAGGGAGACGAAAGTTTCGTTGTTGTTGGCGCAGACCTGAAAAGGTAAGGAAACGATACGGTAACCTCATAAGAGTATGCTATTAGTCCGCGCATCGATTTTCTTTGTGTGATCTTTCTAAAGTGATTTTTGACTATATTTTTAGTGCCTCTATATGGGCCGATTTCAAATATCGAAAATCGTGCCCCCCTCCCCTACCCTTTCGTACTGAGAAAACGGCGCAATCATATTCTTTCGTTCTCGCTATCATTTCCGTAAAGCCATTATATCGCTTCTTGAGCATCTTTAGCGAACGAAGTTTCTTTGAAATAGTCCATTCGGGAATTTGGAAATTCAGAATTTTCAAACCTTGAAATAATAATTATTGTCTTCCGTTGAAGGTA